ATTTCAGAAAATGTTATTCGGAAATTCCACTGAATAAGTGAGTGAGAGTTTAAAGATAGCAAATCAAACATGATTGTAATTGTTTCGAAAGACGCACATACTTATTACAGTAGAGTAATATGTGGTTCTTTAAACATGAATATATTATTAGAAGTATTACAATACCGAATGATTAAATCGCGTAGAACACCGAGGAAAATGAAACATCGTTTGGAGAATTACTCTAAAGATGTTTCATAGCATCTCTATTAAAGACATTGTTGCATATGCAACAACGCATTTATTACGTATTCACACGTATGTAACATATACATCACACAAGTTATAAACTAGTCCAAATGAACATCATAACATGGACGCCCACAGATGCATGCTAAATAATTGTTTTATGGAAATGGTGGCTGTGATATCGGATACATAAAATATTTATGATAAATATTGACTTCTATAATCAAAGGTACTATTCTTCACACTCATTAGAAAATTGATAAAAATCTTTATCATTCTTTACAAAAAAACATATTTCTCATTGATTTTCTACTACTATGCATGTAATCTCTTAATCATAGACTCGCGGGCCAGCACAATTACTCTCCTTATTTATTAACCTAAAACGACGAAGAGCATTTTACGATCGTCAACTTCAAAAATACTACAAACGAATTACTGACATTATTAACCAAAGTACACACTATACGCAAACACAGCATTCACCTATCGATGCACGCAAGAGATTCCAAGGAGACAAAACGAAAACTCCCTACAACATTTCCATAAATAGAAAATCTATATATTCTGCCGCGAATTTGGCACCGCTCACTGACGCAACGTTCGCAATGAAGCGGTTAAGAAACATAATGTAGTTACTCGGCGCAGCGATAGGTCGGCCAAAGTGAATTATTACGTGTCGACGGGACGGGTTCACGTTCACCGGGTTAACGAAGAATATTTCGTTAAAGAGTTAAACGGCGAACCGCGACGCGTAATTAACTCGGCCTCGTCGCGTGCTTTCCGCGGCCCTTCTTTTTCCCCGCTCAAGCACGATATAATGGAAACGTGACGTGCCGGCCGAGGCATGAGATCATGCACCTTGGCTCCTTCCGATCAATTAGAACGAAGATTCCTCCGGTTACGGGAGACACGAGACGCGCAATCATCTTTCATTCAAGTCGGCTGCGAATCGGTTCGTAGAAAAGTGAGATCACCGTGTCCCGCAGGACACCGCTGATTTGTCCGTGTTTGCACACGCGATGACTCAATACAGCGCACACGCGCGCGCGTCGTAAATCACCGCCGACCGATTTTCCCGAAAAATTTCGTGGCCCGGCGCGATAAATCCGACGGAAAAGGGGATCTTATCGCTCCGTGTTTGAAAACGGTCCGTGGCGCGAGAAAATCTGCCTCGAGAATTCGGTGTAACAGTAGCGAAAGTTTTTCGCGGTTATCTAGAGCTTTCTGTAGATTATGTATAAGAAAAATATTGTCCAAAATCATGGCACTAGCAACATATTAACCAGTTAACTGCGTTTGACTAATATGCACGTCACCTTAAAGCTTAAAATGATACTAATTCTTTCAGCGATAAATTCTTTATTTTTCCAGATAAACATGTAATTCTTCTTTGTTCTGCTTTAGTTTTTCATTAAAATATACCCTAGGTGCATTTGTCCTGCGTTTGACGACTACACATTTCATTTTTTGATTTTATTGCGCACAAAACGAGAGATTTTTCAAACTAAATTCCACAGTTAACAGGTTAACCCTTGACTAGGGTAGAATTTTGCGCCAGCGAGCATTTCCAAGAAAGTGTATTGAAACCATTAGAACAATGAATTGAATAAGAAATAATCACACTTATATAATGTACGACTAACGAAAGATGAAATTGTTGAATTCACTTACGTCTGATCTAAGAGAGTTTTGTTGCAATTATTGTCAATAACATTTATATTATATGCCTATAGGCACCAACACTACACCAAAACCAAATTTTTAATACTCCTTTGGACGCCAACAGTAGCGAAGGAGTTAAAAAATCATTGAAATCAAAATGTGCTGATACATTAGAAACTAACAGCCGTGAGATTCGCGTGTGTTCCCCTGCTCTTTTCACCAAGAACTTTCCGCGATCCAGCGGAGAGTGAAAAAGAGAGAGGGAGAACGTTATCGGCGACTTTTCCCCAGCGCGTGACCGCGCGCCGAGCAACGAGGCGCGATCTCAGCGTGTCCGGACGCGTCCCGTGGTCTTCCCGCCCCGTCCCGATCAGTCGCGTCGTCCGCGTGACTAGACAGCATGAGAAACAGCTCGTGCGACGACCCAAGCGCAATTAAGCGATTGCGCGCCGGCTGCGCGGCTAGGCCGTTTGACCGTCATCGCAGACAATGAATTCGTGTCATGCCAGAAGATGACGGCGGATTAGACACGAGCCAAATTAAGGGGATGACCAAATGTACCCGGCTTTTCCTCGCTTCGCGCAAATTAATATTAACGAAGAAATTACGGTGCCACGCCAACGTGAACCGTGCTCGTCTGCGTCTCCCTTCCGCCGCGTTTCAATGTCCTTTTTTCTCTTTGTACTTTACGTGGTTCGATCTTGGTCCTTGATCTGTCTGAAGCTAAATGGTCATTTGAGAGTAAAACTATCGTGAGTTATTCTGGAAAACCTTCCTTACAAGCAGATATTACATCGAGTGACGATGATTTTCACGATGCTCTCGAATAGTGACTCTGAATATTGCATCCACTTGCGAGAAATGCTGTTGAGAGTCACTTCTGATAGTCTTACTCTGAAATGAACACCTAGCTTAACACATTATGTGGAAATTACAAAAGAAAATTAGAGAGTACAATTATTCTAATTACAAATTATAAAATTGTTACTTTCATTTCTAAGTACCAAGGTTTTTACAGTAAACTTTGTAATACCAAAGTACTAGTTCTTACATTTTGTATCTTAGGTCAATTGATAAACAATGCGACGTTTAACGTGTTAAAATTTGCAATTTGCGCGCAGCCGTACTTAAAGTTCCCCTTAAGTTTCGAACCCTAAATTCTATAAAATCAGCATCACCATTAATTTGCCTCGACGCTAACGATTCTTTCCAGCTTTTACTATGCGACTCCAATTGCTTCTGATGCCGAACTTCACATATTATATGTATCGAGAAACTCAGTAGACGATGCGTGCATCGCGCCGTAATTCGACGAGTGTTGGGAGCTGAAGGGCCCTCATACACGTTGGAATCTGTGGCGGTGTAAGCATCGCTAGAAGCGATAGGTTTGAATCTTTTAAGGTTTCATGATACATGTTGCACTAAAACAAACAGTGAGGAAGGCTGAAACCCATCGCTTGTAAATGCCTGCTTCGCTGCATGTCTCAACATGTATGGGGAGCTTAACGCATCCTCGCTGGACTCAGAAAACGGACCCATAGTTGTTCCAATTTAAAACGTTAAATAAACGAACCCGCGTATTCCAGCTGGCCGAAGTACCGATTCCTCTTCCCTACAACGAGTAAACAGCGGCGGCACGCGCAGCCCGCGTTTAAACTGTTTACACAGTTTCGCGGCCACCGGAAGAAACACACGGCGCGGTAACTTTTAAAATGCGCTACCAACGTGACTCTTCCTGCGACACATCGCGGCACGTGTATTTTTGTGAGCACCAAATTTAAACGGAGCCGAAATGCAACTGGCCAACGCTGTCCGATGGAAATTCCTGACCGCGACGGATAAAAATAACGATTTTTAGGAGGAATCGCGCGTGGCTTTCTATCCCGATTTAAAATAGAACCGGCATCCCGCGCGATTGTGCGGAGTTTGATAGGAATTATGAATTTTAATAACGTTTCGTTCGGTGCTTGATCGCGCTTCTCTGTGAGAATCATGGGATCCGTGATAATTTAATCGAGAAACCGTATCATACCTCTTCTCCTTCTGAAACAGTCACGCGTTCGTTTGATTTGTTATTTTCCAATTGCCTGAATGAAATAAGAGATCTCAGCCTCAACTGATTCAACTAGATAAGCTTTATATTACTATATATATATTTATAATACTAGTCGTACTAGTCTAAAATCACTTCTGCAGAATCTGATGATTTCTGTTCCTTTCGTTACTACAAATTACTGTAATTGCTCAATGTCAGAAATTCATCGCACCCTGAATATGGCTGTATTTACAACTAGACTATACGCAACTTGGCTGGAATTATTCAATAAAGTTTTATTTTGTTCAATAACCTCAAACATTCTTTGAAAAGTTGTTTACCGTGACGTACATTTATTTAACATTTGCCAAATATATATTAATTAAAAACAACTTGACAAACAGAGCAAGGTAAAGAGAAAAATATTACACTCAGTTAGAAAATTTCAAACAAATGCATCTATCTTTTTCTACCAACATAGAAATATTAAAAAATTGCAAGATGTATATTGATAACAATTCCTTGAATAAAAGATTAATAATTTACACGACAATATTTCACAAAACAGCTGTTACATTCGATTTGTCGGCCATATAATTACCGAGGAGTACCAAATTAGTTAAACATGAAGCTAATTATCCAAGCTCAACGTGATCGATGAAGATCGACACACAGATCAAAGGAAAAGAAAACAAAAATCGTGAAAATAAAGATTCTACTCACAAATATCATGTTATAAATCTTGTCGTAGTACACGACCGGCGTCTTAAGACTACATAAATTCAATGGTAGCAAAACGGTTGAAGGTAAAACTAATTATCCAAGCTAAACGTGATCAACACATCGATCGAAGCTGAAGGAAAAAATCCATGGGAAAACAGATTCTATTCACAAATATCGTATTATAAATCTTGTCATAAAACACAGTCGGCATCATGAAACTATTGGAATTCAACAATAGCAAGAGGGTTGAAAATGAAGCTAACTGTCCAAACACAAAATGATCAATGAAGATGGATACACCAATGAAAGAAAAAGAAGAAAAGAACGGTGGAAAAGAAATTTTACTCACAAATATCATGTTGTAGATCTTGTCATAGAAAGCGATCGGCGTCTTAAGGATTATCTCGGCTGAGGTAAGCACCCCGTTGACGTCCGTCTCTAGGATCGAGGAACCAGGTGTCGCGTATGGATAGAGATCATTCTTGGTGATGGCCGCGGCGAAGGGCGCGAGCAGGGCCACGACGGCCACCAGCCGCAAGACGTTGAAACGCGCGCGACGAGTCATTCTCTCGGACTGCCTTCACGCTACTGTCGATCGTCGGAAGCACGGAGACGAGTGTTCTCTTGCCGCCCCCTAATCGCCTTTGCCCGTTCGTCCTCTCGGTCGCTCTTCTTTCGAACGCGTGAAACGAACGTCTCTCTGCTCTCTCCCGTGCCGCCGATAATTTCGTGCCGCGAGGCGGCCAGACCCCCACCCTCGGCTCGCCGCGGATCGCCTCTTCCTCGCGAGGGAACACGCAGAGCACCACGTCCGCGTCTCGCGCTCCGATTTTCGTGGGACGAACGCGGACGCCGACGTCGCGGCACCCGCGCGCACCTTCCCAAACATTTATTCTCCCTTCCGGTACACCGATATTCCGTTGCACTCAGTTAGACTCTGCTTTCCTGGCGATCGTATTTGTTTATACGCGAAGGTGTCAGTTGAAAAGGGTTTTCTTTCGCTGATGGAG